AGAAAATTGTCTTTGTAGAGAAATTGTCATCCTTTTTCAATTTGATTTTGTGTCTTTTCAATTTCATGGTAACAAAGTTATTATTATTGATTTATCATAAAGAATGAAAGAAAAAGAATAAACTATAATTAAATGTTGAAACATAGGATGAAGATAAAAATAGGCTTAACTTTTTTTGGATTTTGAGTGAAATGGAAAGTCTTATATAAGGAGGAAGTGAGTGAAATGAAAAGTCTTATATTAGGAGGAAGTGAGAGAGCATCTAGATCCAAAAAAATCATGTGAAATTTTTGAATTTTTGGATTTGTTTGCATTGCTGTGTTGGTGTATAGTTGACAAATGAACGTGATATGTATCCTTAAATGAATGGATAGTTTAAGTCTTAAGGATACTTTTAAAATTTGTTTCTATGTGTATTCAATTTTATGGTAGCAGAGGTATCATTAATGGTTTGTCAGTTTATTAATGAATATGATAAAGTGAATATACAAAGTATGAATTAGTGAACAATGATTTTGAAGTGGCAACAACATAATGAAAATGCTACCATGTCTTTAAAACGAGCTAAGGTTACAGTTCTATGGAAAAGTCAAGGTTACAACATGCTTTTTGAAAGGTTAATTGATTAGAAAGTTGAATGAAAAAGATATATAGATAAATATATTTTTTACGAACAAACAAACATAAAAATACACATCACAAAGTTATTATTACACAAATAATTTAAATTTAAATTGAAATTAATAAAAAAAAAAGATCTGTTTAAAATTTAGACGCGCGTGAGGAATAGGCACATGAGTACATATCACAAATGGACAAATAGGAACACACTACACACTACAAATGTAGATGTTGTTGGGTGATGAATGTAATGTAATGTAGATGTTGTAAGTGTGCATGTTAAAAATGGACAAATAGATACATGAGTACATATCACATAATTTTTAAAAAAAAAATACCGATTTATATTTTAACACATAATCACAATAAAAAAAAACTGACAAACGGGCACGGGAGTGCCCGTTTGGACGCTAGTAACAATAATAAAAACACTAAATATTTATTTAAATAATATTCACCTCCTATTATTTAATTAAATATATAATAACTAATATAAATTAGCTAATCTTACTCACCACATCACCAAGTTCTACATTTTTTCTCACACACCCCCAACACCTTAAAGTCTATAATTCTAAGGTCACTATCTTTTACCACAGGGTACCCCAACACACCAAAAATACTGATAAACACATATATACTCACAACATCACATAATTAAATTATAGGAAAATAAATAAAATAAGTCAGGGCATTATATAGAGCTAATGGATGGAGCAGAGATCATACTGATGAGCCATATGTTGCAGTTCTTGTATTTAAACTATTGAATATTTGATGGCTCTGTTAAATATCTAGTAAATGCATGTGCTTTTTAAAAAATTGGCGATTTTACACTACTAGATGTTTCAAAAAATTTGGGAAAAATCTGGTAATCCTTGGTGTTTTTTAAAAAATTGATATATTTTTTCACACATCCATTATTTTATAAAAATGGTAAAAATGCATACCAATTATTTCAAATAGCCTATTGTAATTTTGAAATTATACCCAAATTTTTACTTAAACGACCAATTTTGTGTGTGTTGTTTTAAACTAAAAAATTGACAAGAATATTTTGAGTATTATAAAAAAAAAATTGGGGGTGTCAGGACAAAATCTGAGAATCCAATTAACTTCAAACTTAATCCAAGACATTAACCTAATAAAAATAATAGAAAAATTTGAAAAGTCTTGGGAATTGCTTAACGCTCCCTAAGGATTGCCTCCCCACCCTCGTGAAAAACAAAAACTATCTCTAGAATTCGAAAATACATCTCTGGACGCACCCCAAACACATTTGTCCCTTAATCAGACCCTAAGGCTATGCCAAAAAAATTTTTACAGAAATGCATCTTCGGTAGCCTACAAAGATGCATCTATGAACGTTGTTTTAATAAAAAAATGCGCCAGACCCTTCTGCTTCCTCACTTCTCAAAATACAACTCTCAAATATCAAATTCTCTCAAACTTATTCAACTCACTTCAAAACTTCTGTCATTAACGTCCAATCAATCAAATATCTCACTCAATATAAAATTAAACTACATTTGGTATGTTTTTTTATTTTTCTAAATTTTTTTATTTCTATATTCAACTCATATCTTAAATATGTTATTGAAATGAGCAATGTGTTTGATAGGTATTTTAAATGATCAATGCATTATTTTGGATGTTAGAATGGACTGGATTTCCTTCATTGTAGTTCATTTGAGTTGCAGAACATTACGGAGATGCATCTTCGAAATTTTACAATGTTTTAATTTCCAAAATTCAGATATGCATCTCTAGAGTTTATCAGTCTGCACTATTTAGCTTCACCTCATTGTATTTCATGTATATAATGTTTGTGTGGTTTACTTATATGTATTATAGATGATAAGCAAGATAGTTTGAGGCATGGGAAAGTTGTGTAGTATGCATCAGTTCGGAGGGAAAAAAACTTTATCATCGCAGGCACTTGCCATTTTTAGCTCGGCTGATGCACAGAAGTCAACTTATGGAGCTCATGCATCTCCTCCTTCGTCTTTCCGTAAGAGACAGGTGTCACATACTCAGACACCAAAGGCTTCCGAGACACCCGATGCACTCGAGGGGTTTGGAGGAAGCTCATTTGACTTATCCTTGCTGCCTTTATACCTTGACCATTCTTCCAGACATGTCTAGGACAGAGAGGTAAAATTCAATTGTATACATTATTTGAAAACCATGTTTGTTATAATATTCAAAGTTTTTGACGATGATTTATTTTTCTATAGGACTGTGAAGCTTTAAAATGCATAACCATGACCGAAAGATTACTAGTCTGTCATAGTCTGATAAGCAGTGGTTTTAGGATGTGATATAATTATCTAGGTTGTGATACTTGTGTAGGATCGATCATGTTACAGTTAACCATGATATGTTGTTTGCGTTTGTAGAGAGATGGCACTCGGAGACTTCTTCTTTTCATCTTACATGTGGTAAGATGTCTATCACACTAGAGAATGTCTTATGCCTTTTGCATCTTCCGATCAGGGGGAGGCTATTAAACTACAGGAGGATTAACAGAGATGACACAGTGGAGATGATGGTACACTATCTGGGAGCTGGCCTAGAGGATACCCTGAAAGAGTTAGAAGCCACCTGAGGGGCTCATTCTAGGTTTTGATTCCTGGAGAGGTTGTATACACAGTAGCTACATGATGCAGAGTAGGCCGCTGGTAATGATGAGCGGGTTACACAGCATATAGCATACACTTTGAGAGCATATTTGTTGTACTTGATTGGCACGTCTATTTTTGTGGACAAGAATGTCACTTATGTGGATGTGGTCTACCTAAGATACTTCACTCACTTGGAGCGGATCCATGAGTACAACTGAGGGATCTCCTGTTTGGTCTACTTATACTCCAAGTTAGTTGAAGGTTATATGTGGAAGACCAAACAAATGAGAGGCAGCATTACACTGTTGATGGTAATATTTCAGCATCTTTTAATGTTTGTGTCATTTTCATAACACTTTTGTTATGCTATTACTAACGGTTTATATGTACCATTTTCAGGTTTGGATCCTTCAGCATATTCGACTAGTCATGTGCGTCGACCTACACTGAGGAGATGTCACGTGCTTCTGAATTCATCTCACTCAGAGGGAATCAGACAACGAAGACATACATAGTGTATCTTGATCGCTTGGTACCAGAGGATATACACTTCCAAGCGTATATCGATCACCGTGAGACATGTCCCTTTGTCGACGTGGCCTTCTACTTATGATGGTTGGCGTACGGTTCATGTCTGTGTTTTCACACCTGAGCACGTCATGCGACAGTTCGGCTACATGCACTTTGCTCCCAAATACCTTTCTAAGTTTGCTCCTCCCGCTATGACACATAGAGATATGAGTGCCCTGTATAATGATTACCTTAATTATCTGATATCAGATGAGGCACAGAGTACCATAGCTCATACCAACTGGAATACTGCACACAACTACATCCAGTGGTATTTGAAAGTGTCACATCCTTATATGACATAAGATGCTCTAGGTGATCCACCAAGGTCGACTCGTCAAGAGATATTAGAGGAGCAGACTATGGCACATTATGTTATTTGATGTGTTGCTTAGATGTCGTTGTGCCATGGAGTTTGGATAGGAGGGTATAGACAGAGGACTTTTTCTGATGACTCTAAGGTGAGAGACGTTCTAAATGCCATTATGAAGGAGACACTGCAGTATAAAAGACAACTTATGAACATAGGAAACTCGAGTCTATAATACGCAATAGTATATAGCATTTATATTAAAAGCACTATTATCAATTATATTATTTTGACATCTTTGTATACTCGGAATTTATTAATGTAAGCTTTTGGGCTTTAGACATATCAAAAAAAAGATAGATCTTTACCTACACCACTCACTTCTGCTACCTCACATCCCCATTAGTTGATTATATATTATTACCCAAAGTATCCTCCCTTCCCACCACACAAAATGTGTTCAAAAATACATTCATCTAACGCAACTATGGTATCTATAATGTCATTATCCTTAATGAATCTTATAATAATATTAAACTGTATAAACGATACAGTTTTTTTTTTTTTTTTGGCTTGGTGACTCTTCTTTAAAAAATAAAAATAAAAGCACTAATTAAGGTGGTTTTCACATGTCAAATTAAAAATAAAGACTACTATACTAGGCTCCTTAATATTCTTAATTTATAAACTACGCCAAAATGTCAAGTAATAATCCAATCAGGTAATCATTTTTTCATCCACAAGACCAAAAATTTCATGCCAAGTAACTTATAACCCAAGAAATCCGGTGATGTCAATGAATTGTATGAACAAGAAAACAACAGTTACTCTTAACCTGTTGACTAGATGAACATATACTCCCTTCTGTATTTTGGCTATGCTTGGGTATGGGCCTTTGGCCTCCACGCCTGCTGCTGCGTACCTTGACGACCTTTCGTAGGTATAGTTGAAGTTGAGCCATTGGAGCTTGCTCCTGGCTTTGGAGTTGAACCATTGGAGCTTGCTCCTTGCTTTGAAGTAGAGCCATTGGAGCTTGCTCCTTGCTTTGAAGTCGAACCATTAGAGTTGGCTCTGTGCTTTGAAGTCGAACCGTTGGAATTGGCTCCTCGCTTTGAAGTCGAACCGTTGGAATTGGCTCCTCGCTTTGAAGTCGAACCGTTGGAATTGGCTCCTCGCTTTGAAGTCGAACCGTTGGAGCTGGCTCCCTGCCTGCCATTTTGAGCATGGCGTTCTGAATGTGGGTGTGGGAGCACTCCCCTCTGGACCTGTGGTTGAGTTAGAAGAGGGTAACCGCTGTTGTAATTTGGAATGGAAGGCCTGCCATTATAATAAGGAATGACAGGTCTGGCGATAAATCTCAACACATGTGGTGGTACTAATTGGGTCAGGATAGAGCTTTGATTCTGATTGTTTGATATAAGTAAGTTGTACGTCGTTAGAAATGCTTCACCTATCTTTTTCAGCTGTCCTGCACTGACTGATCTTGCTGAATTTTCCGGCTGCTCAAAAGGATCCTCAACCTAATCAAGTAAAGTTCAAATATAAACATATCAATAGCAGAACACGAGAATTTGTGCATGATAAGATTTAGTATTTTCCGTGTGGCATTGACTGAAGAGGGAGGAAGCCGAAAGGGAACCAAGCATATTTGTCGAAGTAATTATACATAGCCTATCCTCAATCACACAAAAAATGTAACGAGAAAGAGTATTACGTATATTGCAGAAGTCTTGGGCAACCATCTCATGTTGTTTTCTATCCGTTCCGAATGTCCCGTATAAGTGCAAATTCCAAACTCTGCAGCCCATGAATCTATTTGAGCAAACTGCAGGAAAATTACTAGCTATGAACTGAGAATGCCAGATGTTAAATGGAGAGCATGCAAATGTCTTTTACTGATACCAAAAGTATAAAATAATCTACCTTTCTTAGAAAATCAATAAAAAGTTCAGGTAAAGAACTTCTGTTGATTGGCCTCAACTTATTTGATATGAACTTGTTTATGTTAGCATGACAGGTTTCTGCAATAAGATTCTCTGCATCAACTCTAACACCTGCAGAAAGTACATCAAGACAATGGTTATAATTACTGATAATGGATTAGAGATAACTGTTCGGTCACCGACAAGGCTGACTCTAGTTTACTTTTCAGTTTAGAAGTATCCAAGTGACACTATCGTCCAGTCCCAAAACACCTCTCCAGGGCTGTGGTGGCTACTTCCTTCAGAGAAACTTCAACTGTCGCGTCTGACAACACTACAACCCCACCATTTGATTTGATTCTCTGGAGTCAGACCGGCTCTGAAGCACCTCCGTCAACCGCTATCTCACGTGCCGCCATGCACGTTTCTGCTGCTCTCAGTCCAGCTGTTGAGTGAAGGCCATTGGCCACCCTTCTGACCTCCTACGAGGTTGCCGCAAGTCCCGTTAGACTCTCCTACCTTTCCTGGTTCAATTGGGATCACTTGAAGTCTGTGGGTTCCACAGACCCACGTTTAACGTTTGTTCCAGAGGTCTCTATCATGTTTCATAGGTTTTTTATATGATTGTGTTGTGCGCGTGTCCGGCGGCCTTACGGCAACTTGTAATATCTTTTTTAATCAATGATATTTTTCTCTCAACTTTTACACATAACCACAAATTCAACACTAACTCAACCCTAAAAGCTAGCTCAAGGGAGAGACTTGTCCAAGTCATTATAACGAGGGGTTTGGTCACATGTGTAACTGATATGGGATTTTGGCACACCTTTCTGTACACACGATTGAACATCTAGATTATGAAGTTTGTAGGATTGTACATTTGCAATTGGCCAAAAAAACTGGATTAGGATAGGCTCTGATATGATGATGTAAGAACTGAAAACAAATGGCCCTAACTCAATTCCAAAAGCTAGCATTAGGGTAATAGATTATCTGAGTCGCTATGAGGAGTACGTTAGCGATATTGTAAATTTGGTATCTTCCCACACACCCATACATAAGTTGTGTGCATTTACAGAATTCTTCACATTGAAGTATGCACACAAACTGAATATCTAAAAGAAAAGCAAATGTTTCAACTTTCCGCAAAGAGGTTCAGATCCTATAAAATTCGCCCCAATATCTAAAATTATAGAATAATGACGCTTCATGCTTTAAATCATAGATGAAGTTTACCTCTCAGCTCATCAACCATATTGGTAGGATATATGTCTTTCAGTGGCGGAAAAATTGCAGGAACACATGTCTGAAAATGAAAGAAAATGTTGCATGCATCAGAAGACAAAGACCAATTTATTATTCGCAGAAGAAAACCAACAGACAACATATCAAAGCAAAGGCATCAACTATTTAAGGTAATTACGAATCTTCAAACCGAACTGAGAAAAATATCACCATATAAAGAAATATGCAGAAGCAGCAGAGGTACCTGAAAGTGAAAGATTACAAGTAAACTGAGAGTAAAGGAGTTGAAAGACCCAGTCTTAGAGTTATTGATTTTATGTGCGTTGGCCCATTGCTTGACCTACAAAACCAGAAAGAATGAATCAAAACCGAACCAATTGCTAGTCTAGCAACCTTACTTCAGCCACAAGAACGTACCACTAAAACCAGATCATGAAAGCGGACATCTATCCTGTTGATCCAAAGCAAAAATTTGGATTTCATCAGCCCAGGAAGGTTATTGATTGAAACATCGCAAGATATGCCTTGTCGGACGCTTTTGAATTTTAAAATGGGAACTCTTGCATGGGGGATGAACTGAAAGTGCGTGCATACACCTGTAAATTATTGTTATTACCAAATGTATTACTTGGAAAGAACATTTCAAGGTGATTAGGAAGAATCAACTTTGTAAGTCACTAATAAGAGCTAACTAATACAAATTTTTGTAACAACTTTTGCGTGATAGAAGTCTCGATTAGAAGAAAATTACCTTTCATTCTCAAAGCTTTTAGGAAATTTACCAGCAACGTTTGTTTTTGCTTTTTCCCAGCAGATGCAATATGGGAGCCATTTAATAACTCAATTGAAATATCCAAGTCACCCCATCGCGTGAAGATATTAGATACAAATGACCCAAATGGTTCAACAGTTGCTCCTGTTCACAAAATTGAGTAAAATTGCAATTTTAAAGTCTTAAATTTAATAACTGAAACTAAAATAGTTTGCTCATTGATACAAGATACAGGAGCCCACGCCTTCTGGTCATTCTTACCCCTGCCTGAATAGCTATGGACTACAATCACAGGCCGGCCAAGTTAAATTCTATTTGTTTGTTTTGTTGCAAATTATATTTTGAGGATCAAACTAGTTATGCTAAGCTAAGCAATGTCACTTATAGCAGTTAGACAAGGAAAGGCAACGCAAGAGCAAGCAGCCACACGTGAACCGCGATAAATGATATCATGATAGGCTTTCCTCCATTTCTTAATAGATTCCTATAGTTTTCCTAGGACAAGAAGCTAGTTAGAAATCCTTTATTTTATGGACCAATGACCAATCGCTCTTTTGATTTTGATAAAAAAATATCATTATCAAACAAAGTTTGTTGCATTTCATATGGTGGTAAAGTGAGCCCACATAAAGAGTTCTCTGATCTCCAACCATACATAAGTGTGAAGGATTGAATCCTATAATAGATTTTATATAGAAGAGTCTTAGGCTTGGTTTAGGAGTTCGAAGAGGAAGGTTTGAATCTTTCAATCTCATGTCGTGAGGGATTTGACCTATGTTAGGTCCATAAAACACCCCTACTTTTGGTGTTCTATGATTCACCTCCGAATAATGAGTAGTTGCTGAAAGATAGATAGAACCTTTCTAAATGAGATTGAGTTCCCTGCATATGGAAGCTAGAAAATGCTATTTATAAGATAACTTTTAACAGTGTCAACTTCATGGTAACACACTTGAATGCATTTGTTTACAAAATTGCAGTATGACAACAAAACTAAACTTTTGAACAATTATTTTACGCATAAGATGATAAAGATATTCTTAATTTCCATTATTTATCAAAGAAACCTTCAAGCTAATGTGAAGCTTGCCCCAGAAGTTGGCCTCTTTTATCTTTCCATTCATTTGATTATGAGAATAGAACAAATTAGTACAACTGTGTAAACGTAATAGTGATACTGTGATAGAACCTTAAGACATCTTGAGACGAGATTCATTACTTAAGTACTATAAAACATAAGTAACAACAACAAAATAGATGAATGATATGTTTGTTGATTAAGGCAAATCTTCAACCTTTAACATGAGAAAAAGAAATAACTATATATGAATGACTCAATCAGTTAAATCAACACTTGTTAGTTCTACGTTTGGAGGGGAGAAACAAAACTTTTGGAAGTTTACCTCTCAGGCTTTCCACAGATTCAACAGTGCTTCGCAAATCATTTATAATTGCAAGCCGTATCTCCCAATCTTCTTGCGAGGGCGCAACCGTGTGAAGTATATCATTTAAAACAACGCCCAACATATTATGTGTATTCATTTTCTGTCTCTTAGTAAGTTCCCGTTCGATGTGAATGTAACAGTGACTACAATGGTTTGCAAAACTAAGTGAACAAAATGAAAGCAAGAGGATCTCAATCTACAAGCATGTGCGTCTTGAAAAACACATCATAACTTTTGAAAGCCCTGGAGCAGCATCCCTGACCTGATACAATTGTTTATAAAGTTAGAGACAGAACTATGTGTGTGGATCTATTCCATTGAATATATTGCTAAACATGAAACCTGACACGGGTATTCGTATGGATGAGAATATAAAATCATTTTCTTAATCGATAATTCATAAATCTCCTTCAAAATCAAATATTTTTCCTTCCCCTCATGATACCAACATCAGAAGATATCTAGACATAGGAAATTTTAGAGACGAACAATTAATACGGTGTTTAATTCATAGTTAGGGGATTAACCCAATAACCAAGCAGAATCACAATTAGCTACCTATAATCCATATAAATGACTCAGACAAATATATTTAAAGTATAAAATATAACATTACAGAGTTGAAGTTTGAAGGCAAGTGTTATGGCAGAAAAAGAGAATAAACAAAATCATAGCAGAATGAAGAAGAAGAAGAAGAAGGCACAATGATTTTACATGGTTTGGTCAATGTGACCTGCATCCGCGCGGACAGTCAGAGGATTTCTTACTTCTTTCAGAAAAAAAGATAGGGAGTCGCAACGATACTAGGAGAAACCCTAGTACCCTTATCGCACTGGTTCAGAATTACAAGGAATGTATATATATGGGCCAGTACTATTGTTCTCCTTAATATTTTGAGATCCAAAATATTGGGCCGGGTTACCATTCGAGTCAGTTGGTCCATTAATGTGGTTCAATACGACTCCACGCAAAAAAGGCTAAAAAGCACAATCACAATTAGCTGCCTATAACCCATACATGACTCGGACAGTTATATCTAAAGTATCAAATACAACATTACAGGATTAGGAATTGAAGTCAAACTGTTATGACAGGTTAAGAGAATAAACAGAATCACAGCAGAACGAAGAAGAATGTGCACAGATTTTACATGGTTTCGTCAATGTGACCTACATCCACACAGACAGTGAGAGTGTTTCTGACTTCTTTCAGAAAAATAGATAGAGGGAGCCGCAATGATACTGTGAGCAGCCCTAGTACCCTTATCGCAATGATTCGGAATTACAAGGAATGTATATAAATGGGTTGATTCGCATTGTTCTCCTTAGATACGAAATATTGGGCAGGGTTACCATTCGAGTCAGTCGGTCCATTAATGTGATTCAATGCGACTTCATGCAAAAAGGCTATCAATCACAATTAGCTACCTATAATCCATAAATGACTCAGATAGTTATATCTAAAGTATGAAACACAACATTACAGAATTAGGAAGTTGAAGTCAAACTGTTATGACAGAATAAGAGAATAAACATAATCATAGTAGAATGAAGTAGAATGCACATAAGAGAATAAGCATAATCATAGTAGAATGAAGTAGAATGCACATAGATTCTTCATGGTTTGGTCAATGTGACCTACATCCATGCAGACAGCAAGAGGGTTTCTTACTTCTTTCAGAGAAACTGATACAGAGAGCCGCAATGATACGGTGAGCAACCCTAGTACCCTTATCGCACTGGTTCGGAATTACAAGGAATGTATAGAAATGGGTCAGTTCGCATTGTCCTCAATATTTTAAGATCCAAAATATTGGGCCAGGTTACCTTCCGAGTTGGTCGGTCCATTTATGTGATTCAATGCATCACCACACAAAAAGGTAATCAAGCACAATCTCACAAATAGCTACCCAATACCCATAATCCATAATCGATACAACGAATTATATCTAAAATATCCAACACATTACAACAGTTAAGCATCATGAAAGTTTGAAAGCAGAGTGTTATGACAGAACAAGAGAATAAACAGAATTATAGTCGAATGCACCCATATTCTACGTTTTTCGGTCAATGTAACCTACACCACCCAAAGGCAATAAGAGCCTTACTTCATTCAGGAAAACAAATACTGAGCACAGCAGCAATTCTATGAGCATCTCTATTACCTCCTATGGTAGCAATTCAAAATCACAAGGAGTACACCGATTTTCATCGTCATCATTAGTATTTTGAAATCAAAAATATCCAATTAGGTTACAATTTGGATCGGCCCACCAACATAATCCAATACATCTCTATGCAAAAAGGCTATCAAGTTTCAACACTACCGAATTTGGATCAATACTCATGCCTATGAAAACAACTTCTAACTAAAATCATACCATGCCCAAAAGCAATAACAGAAATTACACAATTCCTCAATTTCTCATTCCAAGTCATGCCAATAGAAACCAGCAACAGCACAAATCAATAAAAGGGATCAAGCAAATGCATCCCTTCATTCAGATTTAAGGGTGTTAAAGGGTAATCACTGAAACTCAAATTGGCATTGCTATGAGTAATAGAGAAGAGAACTTTACTTGGAACAGTGATTGAATATGAAGTATTAAGCAGCAGTAAAGGAATATTGTAACTTAGGAAGAAGGGTTTTGTTTCTACTTTCTATTTAGAAAAACTGTAAACTTTAAAGGTTGATTGATATGATAGTTTACCTTTCCATTGGTTGGAATTGAAGGCGGAAAAGGGGTATTGAATTTTCTTGCTGTTCTTGTTCCTTTGAAATTGGTGACACTATGGAGTGTGATTCTCAAGAATATTCAACGAGAGATCCTGACGCAGAAGCAGAGATCGTTTTTTAAAGTACTAATACTTGTAACATTCTTTTTGGGCCAATCACTCTATCTATATTTTTTTTTTCATTCTAGTGATTCTTTAGGAATTATTTTTGTGAACTTATTGTGGTAAAAATTTTGACTTGACTTTTCTTAATTCAATAAATCATTTTAAATTGCCATGTATTTATATTTCTTGAAATAAAATGTCTGATTAAATTTGTTTTAAGACTAATAATCTTCAATTTTAATTTTGAAGATAACGAAAAAATTGCTCTTTTTTAAAAAAACTAGGTGAATTTATACTGCATTGCATAGGTTTTATTAACATACATCTTTAGTTTTTTTTAATAATTAAAAAATTATAATTTTGATAAATATAATCTAGCAAATAAATAAGTTTTAAAATATTGTACTGTATTTTTATTTATTATTGATTTCAAATAAAATTTTAAAAAAAATGGAATCCAAAAAACTTTTATTTCCAAAACTAAATATTACATCTAATTCATAGGATCTAGAAAATCTAAGCTTACACAATTATGTTTAGATTATTATTACTAACATGAGTGGCTAGCTTTCTATTCATACTACATCTTAACATAATGTTATAAACTATACTAGTTTTCAAATTTGGTTTCAACAATTGGTGATTGAATATGTTTTGGACTGAGTCTGCCTTTCAGTCGGACAAGTTCAACCCAATGTAATGTTGATGAGGTCTAACAGAGCTTAATCATCCTCCGTCGAGCACAAGCCACAACAAGGTAGATACGTCGGGCAGAAAACCTTCTTGGCGGGGAAGGTCACGCGCTTCCCCGACGCTCTCTGCGTGCCCCCCAAGCGGTGACACGTCGTCAGGCAACTACCTACCTCCGAAAGAGCCGGTCAACCCACCTTCCGAAGATCACGGGGTAGTTGATCCAGGGCGAAGACCACGTGCTGGTCTTTACTACGCCACGTAAGTCCTGACAGTTACTTGGGTTAGGCCTGACAGTCTGGCCAAATACAATGTAATTGTTGGCCCTACGTTTGAGGCACACTATAAATACCCTCTTTCACTATAGGGTCAGGTAACTTATTCGTCACGCCTAATCTTTGTACTTGCTCTCTCTCTCTCTCTCTGATCCCTTTACTCACTTAAACATCGGAGTGTCTTGCAGGTACACCTCATCCTCCTCTTGCACAACTCCAGTGAAGGTAGCAACTTACGACGCGTGGCAGGCCATTGACTCTTTATAATCAGATGAGATCAGTGGCGCCGATTGTGGGGACCTTTTTGCTTCTCTGTCCTTTCTCCTATCCCGGCATAGCGGCTCAAGGACCAAAGCAACTTCCAACTTTTCATCACAATCATGATCAACCCACGCAATGGCAATGCTCTAGGATATGCCTTTACCCCCGCGACCCCTACGCGACTGTCTGCAATGAAGAAGATCACCAGATGGACAGGCGCACCGTCTTTCCCTCCTCTGAGGATGCAGCTTTCGACGTCGTCCAACGCTTTGACAGCCCGGCTGTCTACCAGCCCATCCGGGTTCCACTGGCGCCGACCCTACCATCGCGACCCTGTTCGTAGCGATCGATCAAACCAACTTGATGATCTTCAGACAGAACGAACGAATAGGGATGCTCGAGAGGGAACAACAGTCGCGCTCTTCCCCACAAAGACATCGTCACCCGGTTTCTCCAGACTTTCTCCTCCCCCATGGAGACACCATCACCAGCTCTTTGTCAGTCTCTCTCCTCCCCCGCGGAGACACTGCCGCCCGACTTCCATCAGTCTCTCTCCTCCCCCGCGGAGACACTGCCGCCCGACTTCCATCAGTCTCTCTCCTCCCCCGTAGAGGACGCGCTACGTAGAAGATTCCAGGAGCCCGTCACCCCTACTGGCAGGGCACCGCCCCCGTCTGGAACGACCTCAACTGACGGTTTCTTACAAAAGGGACAGGTCACCTCCCCGAGAGGAGCGACGCTCCCCGGCTCAGAAGAATACTAAAGCTGCAACAGGCTCCTCCAGACCAAGAGCCCGACCAAAAAGTCCTCCACGCTAAAACAGAAACCACCTGGGATCAGCCTCCCCCTCACTGTCGCTTGTCCGAAGCAACAAAGATATCTGGCGCTCACCACTGTGTAGGGCCACCAGGGAGGCTCCATTGCTCGTCGGGATGGAAAAAACCCCGATCCTAGCAACATACGATGGAACGACGACCCGGACGACCATATCGAAAGCATAGACGCGATGTTGGATTATAGAAACGTCC